AAAAAGAAGCATAGAAAGAACACAGAAGGAAGGAGAGGAGAGAAACTGCTCTGGGGAGAAACTGAGCTCTGCAGTGGCCGCCTCAGTAGGCGAGGAAGGTGCAGCCAGCCACTGGATTCATCTCTAGTGGGGGTGTATGGGGGTGCCACTCCCTGAAGAAGAAAACGAGCCTCCCGCGGCAGTCCTGCACGCTAACTCAGGGCTGTAAAAACACGATACCAGTTTATGTGCGGCGTGTTGGGCATTCATGTGACGCAGATGGTTAGATGGTGTTATGGGTGATTGTCAGGAAGCGGTGATGTTTTTTTAAACAGTAATCAAAAGACAGCCATAGGTTTGTTGAAAAGATGTTTTCATAAAGAAGATCACCCAACGCTGTGCTCACTGTCCTGAGGAAGAAACATTTTATTTTAATTTCGTTTTGACCTTTCTGAGCTCCAGAAGCCTGATGCAGCTTCACAGTGGCTAAACATTACGTAGGTCATAAGTCATAACCGTATTCGATCATCCCTCCCTAATGAGACCGGCAAAAAAGCATCCCTTCTCAGCTGATCCAACAAGTCGACACTCTTCCTAAATCATCTTCCCTCACCGTCCTCTCGCGAAGTCCCCCGCCTCAAATCTGTCGACCATCACCTCAGTCGAGTTACTGCCCGTCGGGTGCCAGTGACCGTTAGAAAAGTGAGAGTGCCTAGCGCGCGGGGCAGCGGGTGGCAGGAACCGGCTCCAAGCAGACGGACACCCTGAAAACGAAAGTGCTCTCGTAATAGGAGATTGGGAATGGATGGGGGACAGGGTAGTGAGGTTAGTAGGTCTGGGGTGTGGATGAACTAGGTAGTAACTTGTTCAAGTTTTTATATCGTAATTTGGTTGTACTTTTCCGGTGGGCGGGGGGGGGAGGGGATCATAGTTTACATGTCAATACTTCTGTGAACGTTAGAAGCAACACGAAGTGGTTAAACGTCATACGATGCGTTAGGCGTGAATAATATTTCATATCTTTAGCGATTTGTTGCTAATGAACGCCATCGACGAAGACGAGTGATTCAATAAATCAGGCTGTCTTGGGTTATATGCTGAGGTGTTTTCATAACGGAGCAAAACCTGAAGAGACTCAGCCAAATGAACACACCCGATACCTGCAAACTGAACGGCGTGCTCGCCTCGATCGGATAACGGCTCTCATCGGTGCATCAACTCTTACCATTAGCAGCTCTCACTTCTCACGTTGAACAGTAGGCAATGACCAGCGAATCCTGTTCATCTACGCTGCTGTCGAATGACAATGGCGCTGTGAGCAGCGCTTGTGACGGCAGGCGTTTGTTGGGACACGCCATGGATGTAATTAGAATTCACGTCAGGTGACATGATCAACATTCACGTCAGGTGAGGTGCGCCATGGTGCTATGTGTCGGTGTGGTGTGCATGGTGGAAGCTGATGGAAGGGCTACTGTTAGCTACTGTTAGCAGAAAGTCGTGGGGCTTCAACTGTTAGATGCTATAAGCGTTTGTGAGCTCCTATCGTAGCTTGCTGTTGGCAGGATATGGTGCCGTTAAACAACGCCAGCAAATGGCTCTGAAGCTAGTAGCGCTCTTTGCCAACGACCTCGAGGCTCGACAATCGAGTAGCATGAGCCGAGTTATTGAAGCCGAGTGTGTGCAAACTCCCGCAGCAGCAGTGCTGAGTGCTGAGTGCTGTCGCAAACTCGACACCTGCTTCTGTTGCGTCACACGATAGGTTTATGTCGAAGTGAGGTGGAGTGAGATTCTTCAAGCTATGTTCTGTTGATGGTGTGCTCATAGACCGGTGGACTTAGAATAGAATGGGTCGATTCCAATCCTCTCATTATTTTAGGTTAATAGATTCGACCAATTCCTATTCTCTCTTCATTATTTTAGTTTAAAGGTGCCGTTCCGGCTACCGGCTACCGCATTATCGTAACTTCATTGACAAATTCATTTATTTTTACCATTACGATCAAGCACCGGAGACGTTTTTTTTTTTTTGCAAACGAATTACGAAACTCGCTAGAAATGACAATAGCTGCGCGTTCTAAGAACTTGTCGCCGATCCGTTCCACGTAGCCCAGCCGACGCGATGTTTCGCGCCATTAAACGGTCGCTTTAGTAGAGGGACTCACCGTGTCGCAATAGACTGGTCCGGCTAATGTTTCAACTGGAGCCGACCTGGCTTCGAACATCGTGAAATTTAATGTAAAAAATGCCGTCCCTGTGGCCCTCAATGTGCTAAGATAAGAGGCTAGTGTGGCTACGCTGTTTTACTCAAACTATGCCTTATTAAGAAGGAAAGGAAAATCGGTTTAGTTTCCCGTTTCATACTTATCTGGTTGAGCTCTGGCCTTCGTTTTTCTCTTTCGATCACCTGTTTGTCTGTCAATGGTTCATAAAGCATCAAAGCATTATCAATCAAAACAAAAAATCATGTTAAAATAGTGCTATGGAATGGCGACTCTGTTCTAGGATTCACCCGCGTCTACTTGAACCGAACGTCAGCCACGGCGCCCCTTCCCCCCTCCCCCACACTGGCACGCACCTCCCCACCCCCACCGCCCCCACCCATGGCCTCCGCCGCCACAACCACCGTGCACTATCAAATTTCCTCCACAACCGCGTCCGGCCGGCGGCCTTAGACCGTCTCCCGTCCAAATTACCAGTCATTAGCTGTCTCTGTGACCTTGACCTGCGTGACCTTGGCCCGTAGTGCCGGCGGCGTCCGTCCCCGTTCCCACCGGTAATACGGTACAGATGGCAGGTCTGGACGTCGCGTGTCCTGGAGGGGGTGTGTGCAGCTCCCCCCCCCCCTCTCTGTGGGTCTAGGTCAGACGTCAGCGTAGCCGGAGGCGGTCACGTGATTAGTAGTGCCTGGTACTACGGATGAACGGACTCGTTGAAGTATTTGTGGTTGTTTCTTTGTTAGTATTGCTATGCATTAGCATTTCGCAATTAATTACCGTCAATGAGATATGTTTGATTTGTTATTCATATTCATGTTTAATACAAGTGCTGTTTCAAAAGACCTATGGCCACCGACTTACGGTCTTCCAAACGACTTCCTGCCGTCTCAAGTTTCAGCCAACGATCATATCCCATTCGAGTTTCTGCAGTGACCTTATAAGTGTCTCCTTCTATCCCTTCTGTTGACCCATCTATACCCATCCAAATCCTACATGCTTACCCAGCTCGCATGCTAATTTACACACTTGAGTCTGACATTTACACACATCGCCATGATGACCGATGCGTCCTTAACGATGGCGGTAGCTCAAACCTGCGTTTACCTACCGGTCGGTGGGCCATTCGGTCAAGGTCTCGACAGTCAAGGTAGCCCCCCCCCCCCCTCGGAGTGATGAGTCCCAGTCGCGGGGCGAAGGGGGGGGGTCGACTGCCATCCGTCATGATGGGGGGAGGGGGTAGCCGGCAGGACGCACACTGACCTCGAGTGCTTCAGGTAGGAATGGCTGACCATCGCATAGAAACGAGACGCAACGTCCCTTGACAGGTGCTTGTTTAATGTTTATTCATTACTGCAGCTGAGGTTGTGAAGGTTGGACTAGGCTGCTCAGGAGTCGCAGGTTACTAGGCAATAAGGAGGAATAGGATATATGGATGTTATAGGTTAGGCTGGCAGAAACAGATGTCTTGAAACTTTTAAACGACCTGTGGCACCCTTGGGGTTACTTGGCGTTCTGCAGTGCTCAGCAACCTAGGAATGAATGTTTCAGTAGCTTCGTTGTAAGCCTCAGCGACCTGTAATGTCTTGTAGCGTTGTGAGATATCTTGTCGTGTCTCTCGACACTGGCGTCTCGTTGTGTCTCGTTCCTTCTCGCGGTCTCTCCTGAGCCTTGTGTCATCTTGTGTAACTCACTTGCCGTCCTGTACCAATTGGCACGTTCCACTTGACGATTCACGTGTGATTGTGCGAACAATTCCTCCCGACGGGGACTCGCTGTGTCCCCGTAAGTGACCATTCTCTGGAGGAGGTCGGCCGCAGAAAAGACGAATCACCGGATGTTGTGACTGTGAGAACTGGGTGGCTCGCCTCAGTCTGCCGAAGGTCGTCTGAGCTCTGCCCCTGGACTTAGCTCCGAGGCTGTTATTAGCTGTGATGCTCCGTGAAGCTTCGTCCCGGAGTGGGTGTTTTTTAGGAGTGTTGCCATGCGTCTAGTCCAGCTGGAGAAATGAGAAACAAAACAGGAGACCACACGGTCAGTGGATGTTGTGTTTGTTGGGGTTTTAGTATGAAGCGAGTCGAGTCATGCCCCATTGAACTGAGATTATGAAATCAAACAAGTTCACGGTAAAGGAAGTGACATCCCGGTTCGATGAATTGAGAGTATCGAAGCTGAAACAAATTAGACAGGAATTCAGAGGTGAAATTTTGGGAGAATATGAATGGGCGTACCGATGTTAGGCATTTGGGAAAGGGTTGCGCTATCAGGCATGTGCATTGTGCACTTGCGTGCAATATCCGTGCCTAGGTTGTCGCATTTTGAACATTTTGTTTAAGATTAAAGGAATATCAAATACCTAAACCGGCGGGTGAGTGTGCCTGTGTCTTATGCCTAACCCTCTCTCATCCTTTTACACCCAGGTCCTCCATTGCACCTCTGCACCCTCGTAACCCCTCCCCTCAACCCCTCCCCAACTTCCCGCCAGCCAGCCGGTCTTAGCAACGCTCGCCGCTCGATGAAAGAGAAAGCTCCGCTCATCCGCCCTCCCCGTGTAGGGCGCGCGGTGGCCGTTTTCACTATCGAGTGCAGCCAGCGATAAACCTCAGCGATAACCCGAGCCATCTAGGGTTAAAACTGCAGAGAGTGTGACGCTGCACCCTTCTGCAACGGGCCGATGACGTCACTGAATTATAATTCTATTGTCTGAGCCCTGAGGACGTCACTGGATTATAATTCAATGGTCTGAGACCTGAGGGCGTCGTTCGGTTCTAGCTCGGACATCTGATGAATTTGTAGTTTGAGGATTTC